GAAGCATGAACAGAAAATGAGTTCTGGGTGGGAGCTTTGAGGAAAGGGGACGAAGGGAGGGAGGGAGGAAAGGAAAGCAGTGTATTACAATTCTCCTGTTCAGCAATCACACATGTGTGAGAATGACAGCCTTTTGTTCTGGGAAACATCCTGGTGGATTGAGTGTAAGACTGCCCTTGACGCTCTCCTCTTCCCGAAATGTAGGGCACCTGGGAGAGGAAGCTATGGAATTTGATGAGGAGAGAATGTGGTTCAGACTAAGCTTCATCTTTACAGGGAAGAATTGGAGATATAATTATTTAATTGACAAAGTTACCAGCTCATTTATTGTTAGCTGCTATGAAGAGGTAATGGAAACAAATGTAGGTGGGTCTCTATTAAATGAGGGTTTTCGAAACCAGATTGAAGTTCTGATAATTCATAGGAAGCTCCCTTTGTACAGCAGTGTTGAGGAACCTGAAGACAGCAGGATTGATTTTTCTAGGAGGATGAGACCAGAAAACTTGCATTAATTACTCAGAGTATATACGAGTATACCTTTGGGCAATTGAGATTTGATTCTTTATGGAGGCCACCCAAAAGATATGGAGTATGTATCTGACCACAGTCAGTTGGAGTGAATTTAGACGGAAGGTTATAAATGTCAGGTGAACAAATCCAATAGAACATTGAAAGAGAAAGATTAAAAACTGGGAATCTGATTTTCAGATGTGCCCACCAGTCCAGTTGAAGTAAACAGGAGCAGTAGGTACTCAGGACCTCTGGAAAACAAGCTCAGCATTTTTAGAAATGTCACGAATGAGAGAATAACTAATAAATGTTTCTTGAAAAAGAGTTCCAAAGCTAATAGAACCCAGTGTGGATATTTTGTTTGTTTGGTTAATTATCTATTGCTGTTATTGCTGTTATTCTGGACTGTGTGGGAAGAAGTTTGCTTCATGTCAAGTACATTTTCAACAGTAAGTCATCCAGCTAACATAGTTATCAATAACAGCATGAGAGAAAATTATATGCAAGATGACATTGACATAAATAGATAATGTTTCCCCTTAATTGCAGGAAAATGAGAACAATGATGGCTAGATCTGATGACTGAAAGAGAAAGTAGATTTTTTTTGAAAACTACAGAGTATTAAAAGATTAAGTGGGACCATTTCTATAATGAGTCATAAAATAATTTCTGTTCTCGATCTTACTTTGCTTACAAAGTAAATACCTGGATAAGGTTCTAAAGATGTATTTGATTTTGGTTCCTATTCTCTGATTTAATTTATAATAATTTTATTGACAGAAGATATGGAAGGAAGAGGTAAAATCTGATGTTTAAACTAAGGTTGAGAATACTTATCAGTAATTTAAGGGCTAAAAAACCACAGGCATATTGAAATTTTCAAAACCAATCATTATAAACATAGAAAATTTAGAGTTAAGAAACTTAAAAATAAATGTAAACATATCAATGTATATAATGCACACAAACAACCTTAAATCTGCCTTATAATGATATCATGCTTTAACCATAGCTACGATTAATGCAATTTTAGTGTTTGTAGTCTCAGATTAGAGTAAACTGATTTTATAGACATTTTTTCATATCCTTTCTGCCTTGTGACATTGGCAGTTGCTAATACAACATCATGACCTGGCAGAGTGGAGAGAGTTGTCATAGTAGCAGGTTCTACTGATTTTTCAGATTGTTCTTAGAGTGTGGTGATGAGTGATTACTTCTCCTTCCTGAACGCTAAAGTGGAGAATCTGACAGGGACCAGTCCTGTTGACTCTTCTCTTCAGCACTTGCTATCCCATTAAGATCATGAGATGCTATGTGCGCTCACTAATATATTCCCTGTGCTCATGATACTTATCTCTACATTTTCTGTTACTGACTCAGACTCTTATGCAGTGTCTGGAAAAAATTGGGCATTGCAAGAAAGACGCCCAATCTGGAAAGACGAAGTCCAATCTGGAAAGACGAAGATAATGGTTATTGGCAGTTGGAAGTGTTTTGAGGATCTGGCAAAAGCTATAATTCTATCATTTGACTGCATCTGCTCAACTAGTCAGGGCCGACAAATAATACAATCTATTCACTGTGGCGAGTAGATTGTAACCCGGAAGAACTGGGTTTGGGCGATCTCATGCGCAGCTCGCCGGACAGCCCTGAGCATAAGAATGGTTCATAATCAAGGGGTCGTACAGACTCCTTACTATCCCTATATGTTCAAGTCACATCAGGTAACAGAATATCTTTCTTTCACCTAAGGCTGACAATTAAGAACATAAGAAGGGTCATACTAGATCAGAGTGATCTAGCCCAGTATCCTGTCTTCCCACAGTGATCAATGCCAAGTGGCCCAGAGGGTACAAAAAGACTTACTAGGGGAAATTCAAGATATTGGTTATCTTTCAGATAGTTACACTTGAATGGTCTAGGCATAGAGTGTTGAAAGGACAGCTCTGCCATTTTTAACTTACCATAGATCTGTGTACCTTCAGACTAGAACTTAGTTGTCCTAAAGATTTAATGCTTATGAGTGCTGGTAGCAGAATGTTTTGATATTTAGACTATTGCTTTAGAATTCATGCCTTGTGGAAACACAATTAAGAATAAATCTGGCCACTTTTAGAAAGAGACATCATTGTGCTCAGGCTAATCAATGTGGCTACATTTTTGTTTCCTAGCCCAGTAGAAAAGATGCTGGTAGCAGAGATTATACTACTTGGTCTCTTACTGGGATTTTGAATCTCTGTTTAAATTTTTTAATATCATGTTGATGGACACTAAATAAAGCTTGTCATAATAATCAAACTGACCAGGAACACCTTCTATTACACATCATGTGGAAGAATGTCAACTGACTATATTAATGTACTTGTAATAAATATATTGAAAATCAATAGATTTGGACTATGTGATTCTCTAAGTCTTCATCCAGATATGTTGTTTGCCATTTATTTTTGCAAAATGGCACTTTTCACCAACCATTGTTCTTTTCCAAGATATGATTGCTTCTTACAGAAATTATGGGTCAGGGAGAATGAGTATATGGCAAGAGAGCTTTGACAGTCTTGCTCCAGTGTAGTGGTTCTCAACTCTCTGCCCATGGACCACTTGCAGCTCCTCAGCATACAGCTGTAGCTCATGTGACATCCTCAGGACCATACAGGTAGTATTGGATGTAGCCCACATAGCATATTGTGGACTGCATCTGTGACCCACAATGATCACTAGGTTGAAACCCTGTGTTTGAAACTTGTTCCCTATCATACAGGAAAGATTCAGTTATGCATGAAAACTTTCACCTCTATGCCCTTTCTTTTCCATTATAATGCCCTTCTGAATTTCTGCTTTTAAGACTCAAAAGAACCCCAAACCATACCTTTCTTGGCAAATCTTATCCTTTGCATCTGCAGAATGATGATCCAATTATGAGTCTGTGGCATATAAAGGTAGTTTAAGTAAACTGAGATGAAGAACCTCTGACAACTGACAGAGAAAGCAAAGCAACTAAAAGGAACAAGGGAAAGAAATAAATTGAAAAGTATTAAGAAAAAAAGCACAGTACTATATGTAAAGGGAAACAAGAAAAATAGGAAATTAATTTGAATAAATTAGTATGAGACAGAAAATAGATGTTAGATATATTAATCAAAGCAGAGTATTAAAACGGTACTTAGCATAGTAGAAGCCATGGGAATAACATTATTTAAAGAAACATAAAAAATGTTCCTGTAGCACTTTAGGCTACGTCTAGACTGTAGGCTTCTTTCGGAAGAAGCTTTTTTGGAAGAGATCTTCTGAAAAAAACTTCTGAAAGAGAGTGTCTACACAGCAAAAGTGCATCAAAAAAGTGATCTGCTTTTTCGAAAGCTAGTGTCCACACAATGTACGAAAAGTGATCTGCTTTTTCGAAAGCTAGCGTCCACACAATGTACACTATATCGAATTTAAGCTGTGATTACTATGGACGGAGTGGCCACCACTAGGGCACATGTGCTTTTTCCTCTTTCCTCTTCTTTCGAAAGAACGCCCTCTTCCCCATCCACACACACCTTTTCCTGAAAGAGCTTTCAGAAAAAGGCTTCTTCCTCATAGAAAAAGATTTACCCGAAGGCTTCTTCCTCATAGAAAAAGGTTTACCCGTACCAGAAAAATCTCTCTGTTCTTGATGTTCAGACATCAAGAACCATTGGCACTTTCATTGTTTAGTTGGTTAAGTCATTAAAGTGTGGAATATAACGTGCGAGCCATCCGATACCCGGTTTATCCTATTTGCGTAAGAATTAAATGAATGAAGTTAAGTTCCAACCTTTCTCTGTGTATTTGGCTTCTGGAATTGGTCTAAAAGAAAATGGCGACTTGGAGATCCATTAATGAGCGTCCAGGAAGAGAAAAATGTTCTCCAACAGGTTTTTTTGTATTGCCTTTTTGGATATCTGATTTGTGTCCATTAATTCTTTCCTGTAGACACTATCCATCTCGCTGAGATTAAAGAATATACATTTGTTTTGTTTCATAGGACTCGCTGTTGAATTAATCTTTTTAGTAGGCTACACTGATTCTAGACAAACATCATTATGGTACCTCGGTAACTAAGTACAAATTTGAACTTTTCAGAGTTTGGATTGTGGGTGGGTGGTTTTTTTTTTCATCCTCTCCTACACTTTTTGTTGGACCTAAGTGATGGGTCCTTGTACTGTTTTTTGGCTTCTGAAGGAGAAAAAATGAAATCAGTAAGAACTGGAACCATCTCCACAAGGACTCCACCATCTCCACGTGTTAACAGCCAGGCTGACAGCGACCGTTCCAGAACCCCTCAGGTCGCGGCAGAGCTCAGCTCAGACGCTTTCAGTAATTGTACTGTTGTGACTCTTGTTATTGGTTATGTCCCTGTGTGTGAATAAAGATAGTGGCGTGCTCCCCTCCATTTACCGGTAGACTACACTCGCCCCCGGTTAGCTCCTATTCCCCTTTGTACAGCTCTCCTCCTTCCCCAAGGGCTACTGCAGCTCACCAGCTTCCCCAGCCACTTCGCCCTCTCGTAACACCCTTCTCCCTAATCCGATTTCTCTGGCCGCCTTTCCCACTCTCACTCTCTGCCTCCCCGCCCTGCCTCCTAGCTCCTCTCCACCTCCGCCTCTCCGAAGAGCCCGGGCAGCGTCTTCTCCTCGCCTCCTCCCTCCGTGCATCCGCCCCTTGAGCAACTGGGCTCGGTACTCCCAGCGCGTCGCCGGCGCTTGGCTCCTCCTCGTCCTTCCTCGCGTGATTTTTATCGCGTCCATTTTTGTGCATTTATAAATAAATAACAGTCACATTAATTACTCTTCCTCCACCTGGCGTCGATTGCCCCGGGAGCCAGAGCTCCGCACCAGGAAGCAGCGTCGCTCCGGGCCAGACGGGGAGGGGGCGGTGCAGCGAGCCGGCAGGAGGATGTGGAGCGGTCTCCCGTGACTCCAGCTCTCAGTGCGGCGATGGGTTAGGCGGCGTGCATCCGGCAGCCGAAAGAAGAGCAGCCGAGCGCGGCGAAGGCGGCGAGGCCCGCGCAGGAGCAGCTGCAGGAGGCGGCGGCGGCCGGTCGCGGCGCCCCCCACACAGCGCCCTCCATGGACCTCCGGGTGGAATTATGAGCCGGCTCCAGCTGCCGGCAGCTGGGACTCGCGCAGCCAAAGGGGTTTGCCCCCGCCCGCTCGGCGCTCTGTGGAGGCGGCTGGGCTCCTTTCTCACACACCTGCAGCCGCCGCCCTCTTCGGACTCTTCCCCCGGTGCCGCCGGGGTTAGCGTAAGCTGGCATCGCGCCTTCTCCTGGGGTGAATCCCGTCTCTCCGCTGCCTGTGTGGCCGGCCCTCGCTGCCCCTGCCCTCAGGTCTCCGGCCGTTCCATTGCCCCGGCCCGGGTCCCCAGGCTGCCTCTTCATTCTGCTTCTGCCCCCTCCCCGCGCCTCGCTCCCCTGGCCCTGCTTCCTCCCCTCCGGAGTAGGCAGCGTGCGTGTGAGGCCGGGCTTCCCCGGTCAGCCCCCTCCCCGGGGCGCTGTTGATTCATCAGGCGGGCCATTGATCAGCCAGCGCTGACTTGTATGTATTGCTCCCCGCGCCGGCGGCTGCCGCTCCTGCCGCTCCAGCGAGCCCCGGCTCTCCTGTCGCGTGGCTGAGCTCCGCCAAACATGTCGGCTCCCCTCGGACCCCGGGGCGGCCCTGCGCCGCCTCCGCCTCAGGCTCCTCAGGCAGAGATGCCCGACCTCAGCCACCTCACGGAGGAGGAGAGGAAGATCATCCTGGCCGTCATGGAGCGGCAGAAGAAGGAGGAAGAGAAGGAGCAGTCCGTGCTCAAGTAAGGGCAGCCCCTCGTCCCCACCCGCTCAGGGCCGCGGAGAGGGCCGGGCAGGCGGTTTCGGCCCCAGCCCCGGAGGCGTTCGGGTGGTGGGCGCTTGAGTCTGCCGGGGGCCTCGCCGCCGGGCGGGTGCCGAGGAGGGTGAGGAGGTGGGGAAGGGAGGCCGCTCGCCTGTGGTATTTGCTCCGTGTCCCCGCTGCCTTGCCCTATTCCTCCTCCCCTCCCCGCTCTCTGGGGGCAGGGGGAGGCGGCTGGCATCGGGCAGGGACTGGGGCTAGGCACCCAACATGGCCGCGCAGGTGCTGCTGTTCTAACCCGGCGCGGGAATGGCAAAGGGGCTAGGCAGTGGGGGAGCGGCCGGATGGCGGGTGAGAGGCCGCGGACTCGGTCCTGGCTGCGAGCCGGGCTCTGAGCTTGGGGCGCGACCCTGGTGCCACTTGCCCCCGCACCCCGGGCCGGAGATGTGTGGCCGGGGCCTATGCTCTGACTGTAGGTTTGCAAGAGCCGCCATCTTCCTCTATCAGCGTCGCCCACCCGCCCCTCTCCGCGGCTCTTCCTACCCAAAAAGGGGTCTCCCCCGGGTGGGGACTGAGCCCCTTGCACCTGTGGGTCCTTAGTGCCCTGTCCCGGCTGCCAAGCACACGCAGGGCGGGGGCCTGCATGCTGCCGGCGGCCGAGAAGCTGAGGAGAGAAGCACGTTTCCACAGCGGCTCTGTAACTTCAGCACCCGGGAGCTGTCCAGATTGGGGCGGGGGAGAGGAGAGGGAGAGCGGTTTATGGCCCTGCTTGCCTTCCTTGTCTCTCCATCACCTTACCCCTTCTGTCTGCAGGCGGACCCTGCTCTCAGCAGTTCTCAGTGAAGGGGAGGAGGGTCTTGTCTCGGAAGGCTTTACAGTTTGAATACATTTTTGTTTCTTGGAAGTGCAGTGTGAAGTGAAGGCTGCTAAGGAAATGGAAACTTTTTCTTGTAATCTTCAGTTATTTTTTACCGAAGGCAGGTGGGGAGTGGTTCATAGCTATTGCTTGCAGGTTAATGTGAAGATTTTGGGTTTGTAATCTGAATCCATATTGTTGTCTCATGTGTCTGCTTAAGAAATACATGTAAATACTCACCAACACCACATTCATCTCTAACAATTTAAAAGTATAAAACCACACTACTGTATACGGTGTTATGTTTGGAAATATGAAAAGGCCGGAAAAGAGCAGGACACTATTTTTCACAGTACCTGGACTTAATGCAAAAAAGAGAGAACTTGACTGGTTGTGAAGGGGCTCAGTCACAGAAGTCCCATTGGGATTGTATTCCAGTTTGCTTATTATGCCACTGATGCCCGCCTCTTTGCTTTACCATGGTGTCCTGCTGGGCCAGATCCTCTGGTCTCCTGCCAGACAAGGCACAGAGTCAGGGTAACTGCTCCCCCTGAAAAGCAGTGCAGACACTGAACTACTTCAGGTCTGGGAGGATGTAGTTCTAGGGCTCAGCACCTTAAATGGGACCAAAATCCCATAAATAAATCCGTATTTTTTGTATAAAATGTACAGAGGGGAAGCTTATCAAATAAGCTCCCTTTATTAATGAATGAGAGATATGCACAGTGCTTGCTTCCCCACCAGGTAACAATTATTTACACTGGATCTGATTATAAATAAAAGTGTTTTTATTAAGTACAAACAGTAGGATTTAAGGGGTTGCAAGTGAAAACAGACATATCAATGTAAGTTACTAAATACAAATGAAAAGAAAATGCATAGGTAGTAGGCATGTGAATGGGTAACTGATTAATCTTAACAGGTGATGCTTACCAGGAAATGGTTAACTGCTACCTGGGAGCAGTCCCGTGCCTGTGGCCCACTGTGGACAGAAGGCTGCCCCAGCCTTGTGGGGCTGCTGTCTTTCAGCCCGTGCAGTCTGGGAGTCGGCAGCCTCGTGCAGTGCTGGAAGTGGCAGTGCCCCCACCCCCTGCTGCCGCTTCCAGTCCCATGTGAGGCTGCCAACTCCCAGCCTGCAAGCCTGTATGGGCTGGGAGCTAGCAGCCTTACCCCACCCCGCTGCTGCTTCTGGCCCCTTGTGAGGCTTCTGACGCCTAGCCCACATGGGCTGGGAGCTGGCAGCCCAGTGCAGGGTTGGAAGCAGCTGGCTGAAGCAGCCCCTGCCTGCGGCCCAGGGGCCACTCCAGCCTGCCTGTCCTGTTTATTCAGTTTAGTGGTTAAACTTAACAGTAAATTGGATTTTACATCCATAATAGTTAGTTCTAATTCACTAAGAAACGTATTGCCTGCATAGTCTTACCCTAAAGAACTGTTCTTATTTCAGACCTAATCTTCAAGTCAGAGACAAACTCTTTTACCCTGACTTGGGTCTTCAGCCTCTTTAAAGCTTTTTGTCTCCTTTGGATGTGCCAGGCAGTTTCCCAGGCCAGATGAAGATAAAAGGGGATTGCTTCCCCTTGCTTAAATAGACTCTCCCCCAGGGTGGGAAACTTTTATTTTACATCCCTCCACTTCCTGGAAAAATATCAGATTCAAAATGGATTACAGCAGCAGGTGGCGTGGTCACATGTCTCTCCTGATCAACCACCTTCCAGACTTACAGGACAAACAAGGCTGTTTACAAGTCATTGAGTTGATCACCCAGTCATTAGGCTTGTAGGACACCAGTGATCACTCTCATTAGCGCATTCAAAACTTTAAAGAGACTCACCTCTTTACTAACTTCACATACAAGAATGATACATGCACCAAATTAGGATATACAGATCTAGCAAATTGTAACATTACAGTTGATAGGTTATATGAGGTATTTTGTCTAAAGTATCTTAGAGTTATGCATATTTACATTCATCAGCCAATCTGATACTAAAAGCTATCTCTGGGCCTTAATGCTTGTTTGGAAATGTGTGTGTTTCAGTCCTTGTTTCATTAGAAACATGCCAGTGGAAATTTTAAATAACAGTTATTAAAGGCAGAAGAGTTCTCCACTTCTTAAATCCTTTTCTATGTCCCTCTACTTTAAAAAATTCTTTAATATGTCAATGTTTTGAAGAACACCAGTGTGAATTAAACAGTGAAAATTAAATTGCATATCTAATTTTGTCATTCTAATTCCAAATAATCAAAAGTAATTCAGAGTATTAAATAGTTGACTTTTTAATATTAGATAATTCACACTATTGTGGCACCATATCTTAAAGTAATTAAAAGATTTGTTTTATTTTTTTTAACAAGGCGGTTAATGGTTAACTGGGGGCACTTCGCATAGGCCATTGTTGGCAGACAGGATACTGGGCTAGATGGACCTTTGGTCTGACCCAGTATGGCTGTTCTTATGTTCTTTCTTGGGCTTAATCAGTGAGACTTACTGGTTATCGTTAACTGGTAGGGGCTGCAGCAGTCCCCCACATACTGCACCCCCAGCAGGAGCAGCCCTTGTCTGTGATGGGCCCACAGTGCACTGCTGGTAGAGGTACTCCAGACTGACCGGAGCAGCCACCCATCTACCATCTGTAATTAGTTAATCAGTTACACTTAATGTTTAACCAGTTAACCAATTAGATGGGATTTTACATCTTTATTTCTGAGTAATATGGGAAAATCAAAATAATAGAATGTATATTTGTAATTTAAAAATCTTGTTGTGTTTTAATACATTAACAAAAGTAAAATAAGTTATCAATCATGGGGATAGCTTCAATATATAATAGTGTAGTTGCATTAAAGATTAACATATATTGTCAGCAATTTTGTTTTGGATTCCATATTGGTTGTGTTTTTATAAATTGTATTTACTATAAGAAAGTAAGACTATCATTGACTTTTTACAGTGAACAAGCATATTTAATTCTAAAATCTAAACATATGTTGTATTATGCATGGCTAGGTGCTGGAACTAGTGCTGCTGCACTCCCTGGCTTGGAGTGGTTTCCATTATATACAGTGTTTACAGTTTGGATCTATGGTCTCTATCGACACCGTTGCATGCATGTTTTAAATGTGTTTTATATGCATCTAATTTTTTAGAAATAAGGTTGTTACAAGGCTAAGAATTGTGAACATTAACTCTAATATGAATATTACAGGCAGGGTAATTTCTCAGTATTTTAAGAAAGGGAGATGCTCCAACTAACATCAAATGATTTAAGTGTAAACAGATTTTCTATTCTTTTTTAATTTAAGTTTACTCTGTTATCTGAGAACACATTCAGCACAGAAGGAAGTTTGTGAGGGAAAGGAATGCATGCAGTTGCAAAATAAAGTAAGGTGATACCACATCTTTCGTTACTTAGAACTTTGAAAGAAGCTATGAAGCTTAATTTCAATTTGTTTTCACACTCAAATCTATTGCTGGAGCTATGTCAATTTATACCCGCTGAAAAGCTGACCCAACATCTTCCCATTAAGGAATGTCATTGCTATATTTTCAGCTTTTCACTTGACACGGGAGTGTGTTGATGGTGCAATGGAGGCTGAGAGTTGTGTGTAAGGAGTTGGAAAGACTGTATGCCAAAACATGTATGTACAGGATGGACTGAAACAACTATTTTATAGAAGTATTGTTGTCAATGGGAATTATATAGTGCGGGGGTTCCCAAACTTTTTGACATGGGGACCAGTAAATCCATTCATGAGTTTTTGGAGGATGGGTTACATTCATTTGCATATTTGAATATTCATCAAGCAAATGATGAATATTCAAATATGTTGTTTCTGGTCCTCTCAAAGCCCCCAGTGCCAGCTTTTGATATGGTCTTCCACAATATTCTTCCCAGCAAGTTAAGGGAATATGGATTGGATAAATGGACTGTAAAATGGATAGAAAGCTGGCTAGACCAGGGTTTCCCAAATTTTTTTTACTTTAGTTGGAACCCGTTTTTTTTCAGTACTCTTTTTTGCATCTCAAAAATATAAATGCATATAAAAAAAAGAATTAAAAGTGAATACATTTTCAGTGTTTCACCCGGTTGCATCCTCCGCTCAGCCTTGGCCAGGGCTTGGGGGAT